CGGTCCTGCAGCTGAGCCAACTCGAAATCAGCTGACACACACACACACACACACACACACACATACACACAGAGAGAGAGATTATAATAGTGCTGGAGCTGCTTTTCATAGCAGTGTTCAATATGTGTGTGTGTGTGTGTGTGTGTGTGCTCGTACTGATCTTCCTCTTGGTGTTTTCCGCTCGCACCGCACTGAGTCTGCTCTCTGGAGGAGTGGAGGACCTGCCTTTAGCTGTGATCTTACACACACACACACACACACACACACACACACACACACACAGACACACACACACACAAAGATCATCAGTGTGTGGAACTAGATCACTCTGACCACACACGCACATATGCAGATGTGTGTGTGTGTGTGTGTGTGAGCACCTTGAACAGTATGTACAGTATGTAGAGCAGGATGCCGAAGCCGTAGATGGGGATGATCTGTCCGGCCAGGTTGCTCTTCCCAGTGGCAGCGGCTCCGGCTCCTCGAGCGCGCGCGATGGCTTCAGTGGTGTGTGTTCTGGAGGACTGACGGCTGCGGCGCTCATCTGACAGCGGCCCTCGCTGCGGCACCGGCGGGAAGTTACCTGCGGGCCCTTCAGCACACACATACACACACACACACACATTACAAACATCTCACTTATTAACATCTTACACTTCTACACACAGGGGTGGGTGTGTGTGTGTTTGCTCAGCTGTGTGCTTCTGTTTACACACACACACACACCTGCTCATGCATACAGCTGCATGTTTAACACTCAGGGGAACACTAATAAAGGCTGAACATGACAAATATGAATATAAACGATATAAAATAATAATAATAAATAAAATAATATAATAACTGAACAGTCCGGAGATCATCATGTGCACACGAGTAATAGATACTGTGTTTATATCAGAGACGACACACACACACACACACACACACACACACACACACACACACACACACACACACACACGTTTACTGCATTCATCTACTGTCATCAGAGCGGTTAATGTGCAGTGATGAGCTGAAGTGTGTGTTCTGTTGCTAATAATGAGGTGAATGCGGTGTGTGTGTGTGTGTGTCCGGTTACCGTCCGGCTCCCGGTGGCCGCGGGACAGCAGCATCTTCGGCAGCAGCAGCGCGACGCACAGCAGCACGCAGGAGACCACCGTCAGCTTCTGGAAGGTGGAGATGCTCATCACGGCCACTCTGATGATGATTATTGATGATCAATGATGTTATTATTGAGGTTTTGATGATGATCGGTGATTATCGGTGATCTGTGGAGCAGCGCCTGATTCCCGCAGCATCATCATAAACACCGCATCCTCACTTCCGGAGCGCTGCCATGGAGACAGAACACGTGACACCGTCAACAGAGAGAGAGAGAGAGAGAGAGAGTGTGTGTGTGTGTGTGTGTGTGTGTGTGTGTGTGGAGGTCCATGTAAGGTGATCAGTGATGGGCAGATTGGTAGTCTGAGTTAAATGAGTGTAACCTTGTTAGACAGTCTGGTGGAATGAGGTCATAGTTTGGTCCAGTGTTAAGTCAGTGGGACTTTTCTGGATTTTCCGGGTCAGTTTTGGGAAAACCGTCAGTCGATCAGTTGGAGAAGATAAAGCGACTGGAGTCAGAGCAGTTTGGGTTAGTTTGGTGGTGGTATGAACAGTCGAGGAGGAGATGCTTATAGAAACTTGTCTCAGAAGACGGAAGACGAACACATTTATGTGACAGCATGTTGGTTCTCATATTTCTGGGAGATCATCTCTTCATTTATAAGTGAAGGCATGGGCTCTGGGGCTGGGGGCGCACCGTTACAGAACCGCCCTCATTTTCTGCAGCCGCCTGTCATTTCTTACCCGCACAATCAAATTCAACACCGCCCAATCTGGCAACACTGATGATATACTGAATATTGTGATACTTATATTTCATTTATTTATTATATAGAAATATCTTTTTACTTCTACCTACAGTGTGTGTTTGTTATATATGTTAATCTTTATGTAAACTTTATAAATGCTTTGGCTATAGAGGAACTACGAACCTACATACCACGTCACACAGGCTCCAATAGCTGACGTGGTGTTGTGCGGTCGGATGCCAAATTAGAAAACGGAACTTTTAGCGTACAGCACACTGCTTTAATGCCAACTGCAGACGTCTCTGGCTGAAGGCAGCTGACTGGAGTGAGGAGCTGGTTAGTGATGCTGGGCTCTGCTGTGCTCATGGGAGATCAGGTCAGCTCCCGCACTGCTGCATCAGACACATCACTGCTCTCTGACTGCACTGATGATTTCAGCAGTTGAATATGAAGAATTAAACTGAACACTGAGTGCTCAGAGTGAGATGTAGACTTGTGTTCACACACGCTGCTGTACAGGAGCAGTTCACTGTCAGAATGCAGCAGTTCTGCTGTTGATGATGACTTGTACAGCTCCGTCTGCTCTCCTTGACTTTGGCTAAGCAGAACCTCTGTGTTTAGCTCAATATAACTCATCTCTAATACAACAACACACTCTGCACTGCAGATTCAGCTGTCATTCCCTATAAGCATCTGTGCTCTTCAATGATGAGCATGCGCAGATCGAGTGCTGTTATGATCAATCTGTAATCAATATTTCGCTTAGTCAATAACAGGAGAGAGAGAGAGAGTTTATAACCTATTAATTCTCCATTTGAAGATCATTTCCTTTCGCAGACTGTTTCAGCTACAGTTAACCTGCTCTGATGAACAGATCCAGGCGTCCCAATGTGAACAGGTGTGTGTGTGTGTGTGTGTGTGTGTGTGTGTTGCTCCTCCGGGCCGCTGGCGGCGCTCTCCGGCTCCTGTGAGACTCTCGGCTCCAGAAGCGCATAATCTCGCGAGAGCGCCGCCGCTTCCTCCTCTTTGCGTTCTCCGCCGCCATGGTAGGTGCTCCTATAGAGTCTGCGCTCATCAAATCATCAATCCGCTGCAATCCTCCGTTAATGACCGGCGGGACGGTCTGATGGCGCGCGGGAATGACTCCGCATTTTGGTTGCCGGTTACCGGGCGCTATTGAGCGGTCTGGGTTGACAGATGCGGAGTTATTCTAGCGAAGCCGCCGGACTCAGAACCGTCCCGCTGGAGGAGGAGGAACAGCAGTTATTAACCTCCATAACCGCTCATAAGCACTCATTAACCTGCGTTTCTCCACAGCCGACCAAGAAATCCAAGACGAGGAAGCTGCGCGGGCACGTGAGTCACGGACACGGCCGCGTGGGTCAGTGCACGCGCATTATTAACACTCAGATTATGATCAATATTAATAATTGAGTTATGATGATGATGATGATGATGATCTTCATCTTACAGGAAAGCACCGGAAGCACCCCGGTGGACGCGGTAACGCCGGAGGACTGCACCACCACCGCATCAACTTCGACAAATAGTGAGTAAAAGACCAAGATGGAGGAGAAACACCACTGAGTGTGTGTGTGTGTGTGTGTGTGTGTGTGTGTGTTTCAGTGTAATGTGCAGATGTAAGTCCAGCATCAGGGTCAGTACAGTAGTGTGTGTGTGTGTGTGTGTGTGTGTGTAAGAGCTGCTCCATGACATTAATGTTCAGGCCGCTGTAGTGAGCAGATGAGTGTGTGTGGAGAAACACTGGAGTGTGTGTGTGTGTGTGTATGCGTGTGTGTGTGCACAGATGTAATTGCTGCTGCGGGGTTCATCCAGATGCTGTTCGGTGTTTCTGT